TAAGAGGGAGTATGAGACTCTTTGCCATCCCAGCACCTAAACTCTGATCCCTGAACTCAGACACACATCTGCAATTACAGCATTAATAAGCTGTCGAGAAATGCCAACGCCTGTATGTTAATCATACGCCTTCCCAACTGGCAGTTCACACTTCCTCTGCCTGAACAGAAAACAGCTGGCATCTGCGATGTGGCACCCCCATAGGTGCACCCAGGAAAGGCACAGCCGAGAGCACTGTCACTCTGCTTTATGTCTCCTGAAATAGATCAGGATACAAATGACAGTGACTTTACAGTGATTACCTCAAGTCCTCTCTAGTATATGAAAACTAAAACTTTTTGCCAATTTTGGTAAATGAATCACGTCTCAACTGACTGGGAAGTCATCACTAATTTCAACCACACTTGACATGTTATTAATTCCTTACTTGGTCGAATTCTGGTATTCTCACACACCCTTAAAAGCACTCACCCTAAATCTTCTGAGTCAGAAACCCATAGGCTCTAGGTCAGTTGGTTTCAAGTGTGTTTGCCCATGAGACTCAGTCTAGGTTCTACCCATAGAAATTCTTAATTCAGGCCCAGTGTAGGCGGTGGGGCACGGCTGCAGAATACTGGAAGGCCCAGGCTTCTGATTCCAGGTTGATCTGAACAGGCCATGTGCTCCAAGATCCTGGCTGGCCAAAAGACTATAGAAGGGGTTATGGCATGAAAGATCCCATCGGGGATTTTTCTCTCTCTAATAAAAAAGGAAGGAAGGAATTCTGATTTAATTGTTCCGGAGAAGGCCCTCGGCGTCAATATTTTTAAAAAGGTTCCCTACGGCTCCAGGCCCAGCTATCTGGCTCTCCACTTTGGATTGTTACCATCCCAGAATGGAAGTTCCCCTCCTTGGATCGAATGATAGGGTATTTGTGCAAGTGTTACAAAACCTGCACTTACTATTCTGCCTCGCAAGGACTCCTTGTCATCATCATTTTCCTTCTGGATTCAGCTCTGTAGCTAACAGAAATACAGCTATGCTCTAATCCACTGACATGTGAATGATTAGATTTACAGAGGAGTCAGGGTCTACACTGGCTCTCACAAAATTAAGAGCCAAAACTCCTAAATATCTCTTTATTGGTCTGGCCCTGTCCAAAGGGACAGACACAGTACCAAGCCTGGTAGACACCAGAAACAGCTGCACCTAATGACTCCCTGGTCGTTCCCAACTCCTTATCTATGAGAATAGTCTGTGCACCGCAGTGCAAAGAGTTCCATTAAAAACATGGCGTGGGGCCAGCAGGTGGTACGGTGGTTAAGGTGCTGGACTCCCATATGGACGACTTTGGTATAAGTCTCAGACCTAGTGGCTTGAAACTCACGTTGGGCACAAGGGTGTGCATGCTGAAAATCCCAAGGAGAATGAAGGAGGAGCTGTGACATGGCCATCCCCCTCCCTGGGGGGGGGGGAGGCGGGGGTGATTTCTCACTTCTTTCTCTCTTTGTGTCTCTGTGTTCTCTCCAGAGAGCACACACACACACACACACACACACACACACACACACAAACACCTGGGGTGGCAGGAGCATACAGTGACACATTGGTAAAATGTGACACTCTGGGAGGCAGACCCACATGGGACAGTTTCCAGTTTACATCAGGAGACTTCTCTGAGCACCTTAGACACACTGGTACCCATAATCTGGGCTGGCTGGGGGTGGGTTGCAGTGTAGAGCCAGGGGTGCTATATCTCTGTCTCTGTCTCTCTCATGGAATACATAAATAGGCTTTTTAGAAAGTGGGGGAGGGAGGCAGAGCCAGATGGTGGTGCAACAATAAAATGTAACGTTTTTCAAAACAGGTCCATAAGGAAAGGTTCCAGGGTCACACCTAGAGAGCTCCCTAAATACACCAGGCCCAGGGACCAGCAGTTAGCATAATGCCTATGTCGCTGGACTCCCATGTAGTCGACTACGGTTCGAGTCCTGGACCTGGTGGCTTAAAACTCACGCCGGATGTATGTGTGTGTGTGCCCAAGATCCCAAGAGGAGAATGGAAGAGAAGGGATTGCGGCATGACCATCCCCCCCGGGGTGTGATTTCTCACTTTCTGTCTCTCTGTCTCTGTCTGTCTGGCGAGCTCACGCACCCTACAGCAACCCCCCCCCAAAAAAAAAAGAAAAAAGAAAAAAAAATATGCCAGGCCCACATCACACAACCAGGCCCACATCACACAACCAGGCCCACATCACACATGCTCACAATGTGAGCTGGCTGAGGCTGGGGTGGATCATGGCATGAAGACCCTGTTGGAAGTGCTGCCTCTCTGTTTCACTCACAGAAGAAATAAACTAAATTTAATTAAAAAAAAAAAAAAAGTATGTGGGCCTACCATGCTTAACTATGTTCTCATCCATACACCTATAAGTATAATTTTCTTCTCTTAAAGAATTATTTAATTAATTAATTATTATAATTTTTAATTTGCTATAGGGCACGTGCATTCACTAGAGAGAGGGGAAAAAGAGAGAGAGAAAGCAAGCTACCAGGTCCAGGACTAGAACCACAGCTGGTCATGGGGGAATCTGGCACCTTAACCACCATGCCACCTGCTGGCCCAAAAACTATTTCTATAGGTAGAAAGGTCTAGAAGGATACACAGCAAAATGTTAACAATGGTTTTTTGGGTAGTAGGTTTAATGCTTTTTTTTTTCTTTTTTGCTTCTCTATATATCCTAAAATTGCTAGAGTGAACTTGCATTACTGTTTTTATAATTAAAATAAGCAGATAAATCAGTCTCCATTCAAAATGGGAGGAATGGATAAAAGATCTAGACCTTCAGCCAGCTCTGCCCCAGATCTTTGTCCTGCCTGGTTAGACTGGATGCTCCCTCAGGGCCCTCCCTCCTGGGCATTCCAGAATCCTGCCAGCCCCTCTGTGTATTCATTAGACTCTCAGGGGACCCCACTTCTGTACTGTGAACCCATAATCTGTCATTCCTGGTTCTCAGACCAGTTCACTCCTGTAAGAACTAAAATAGAAGTGAGACTCCACACAAAGCCCTGACTCTACTGATGACACTAAAGTTACTCCTCAAAGTCTGGCCCAGCTGAGACCCAGCCGCTTCCAGATCACCTTCCTCTCAGGCTGGGCAAGAATAACCCACAGGCCTTGCTTTAAGAATTAGAGACAAGAGGCATTCAGACTCCTTATCATGCTGGGTGTGGATTAACTTCCCAGGGTCAATGCAACAGCAAAATCTATAAGCAAATCCTGATAGGACACAGGGCAGCTGTGTCACCATGGAGACAGGATACTATAAGCCCCACAGGTCAACCACAACATTTCAAAGAGACATTCACAATCTCTGACAATAAAGGAAGTTGGATCTGGAAAAGAAAAACTCTATGACCAATCCCTGAATGACTCGCAAAAGCAACCCCCCGGGTATATTCTTGGCAACAAGGAAAGAAGGAAAGAAGGAAAAACTAATAAGAACTGAGTACACACTGCGCTCACAGGTGTTTGGATTTTTTTTTTTAATTTCTAGGTTGTGTTCTTTCTGTTCCCTTTTTGTGAGTTTCCTATTTTGCAGAAGAAGAAACTGAGGCTCAGAGTTGCTAAGTCGCTTACCAGAGATTACAGAGCTGAGGAGCAAAAGGGTGGAGATTGTCTCTTACAGGAGCTGGGTTTGAAGCCTAAGTCTGACATGAAAACTTCCCTTAAACCTTGCCTCAGTGCACAAGCAACCATGGAGTTTCAAGCAGCTAAACATGCATGAAGTCATTTGGCTGTGGAATGGGGGAACCACTCCATCCCAATGAGGTTTACTCGAAAAGATTAACGGTGAAAAATACTTCAGGCAGAACCATGAGGCTAGGCAGGAGTAGGTCCCTGAGAAACAGGAGGACAGTTACCTCCAAGTTTATCCAAACTATGCAGCAAAGGTGGGGCTTTGTTTCAGCATGCATGGTCCCTCTGGATTCCAAGAGCAAGTCCCTAAGGTCAGCATGTACCAAGGGATCCAGGAAGGTCACAGTCTCCAGAGGCTAGTTCCGCCACCTTCCAGCTGTGTGATGGAGTGAGTCACTCACGCTCTTTCACCCTAACTGCACACCTGTATAGCACGAACGGCATGGAGGGAAGGGCAGCAGGTGCCTGGTGCATGCAGCAGGCTGCCCCACCGTTTCCAACTAGGACCCCTTCTCTGGCCCTCAAAGTCTGCAAGGAGGGGGCTCAAGAGGGGACCTGGCAGCAGCCCTTCCTCCAGCTAGTCACCTATGCGGGAGGGGGCAGGGACAAAACCCCCATGCTCCAACAGGAACCAGGCCTACGCACACACTGGCTCGGAGCCTGCACCACCACCCACCGGAGTGAGCTGTGCTGGAGCGGGGCTGGATCTTAGCCAGAAGGAGCCTTCTCACCACCGCTCCTTCCTGCCTTCCTCCACCCAAAGCTCCAGAATCAACTCCCAGACCGAGAGGAAGGAGGCTTTCTGGCTCTGACGTGGTCTTCCAGTCAGCTACCCCACCTCACCTGCCGGCGCTCCCTCCCATCGGCTCCTTCCCCAGGCCTGGGCACAGAGATGAGCGAAACCTACCCCTGCCCCCGGAGTCCTCAGCTGGCGGAGCTCCGAGACAGCAGCAGAACCGGGCTGTCCTGGGGTGCTGTGGGGGCCAGAAGGACACCCAAAGGGGGTCTCGCCTTAAACCTTAAACCTGTCTGCTTAGCACCCGCATTTTTCAGGACAGAATGACAACTTCTCAAGGGCAAGCTAAGAAATCATTTAGTATGAGAATCATCCATTTCTGAGATTTTTCTATTTTCATTTTTTTTAACTTTCTAGCTTCCGACCCACTGTATGAACCCTTCCACTTCCTTCTTCCGAGAAACATCCTCTTAAGAGGCGCGATTCCCCTGTATCCAGCGACTCCAGTTTCAACCCGCCACTTGTGGGATGGAGAAACTGAGGCAGGCTCCGAGCGCAGGGCTCCTCCCGCCACCTGCGGACTCACAGCGGGTTCCAGCGCTCGGGCAGGCGGCGGTGCAGCGAGATGCGGTCGCTGAGGTAGATGTTGATCTGGTGCAGCCGCACGCTCTCTTCCTGCAGCCTCAGCTCCTCGCCCTGCAGCTGCA